TTCTGGAATTTTACCATTGTAGGTCTTTAGATTTCTTTCCATTTATATCAATGTAGAAATACGTTCTGTGTAGAATATCTTAAACACCTTACTGAAAGTTTAATGAAGGCAAGTAATTAAAGTACATTAAATATGAAGTCAACCACAATGAGGAAGCAATTTCTCACTGAAGTGTCTCGATTTGCAGTAACCTGTACACAATGCATGTCTACATTAAATCACCTTGTACCCTGGAATATACTTTGTCAACTAAATATTTTAAAATTTAAAAGAGAATGTAAAATGACTATAGCTAAGCACTTCACGTGCATGTTGAACTAAGACCCAAGATTAGTATTTTGTGATTCATTTCAGATGTTCTGTGTCTGAAGGTCTTATCCAATTGTTACAAAAATGTCATGAAAGTTTCCTCTGGTTGAAAACGACCTGGTAGGCATTCGGCCTTTAACATTATTAGGGTGATGCTTTAGAATAAAATTGCTTTGATGTCAGAAAGACAGTATTGGAAATTGTGACCAGAAAATGTGACATGGCCAGGAGACCCAGAACCCCCCCCCCCGCACTGTCCCAACACCTGAGAACTGGGTGACCCTAACTGGTTGAAGAATACAGAAGACTAACGGAGCCAAAGGAACCAATCTGGCAATGGAACCAACCATCATTCAGTTCTTTTAAAAATGACTGCTAAAATGTTAAAACTTCATATACAGTAAAATAAATCTGATTTTTCTTTTTTAGATTCGAAGTTTAATGAATTATGAATTTAAAATTTCTGCACAAAAACCCCCAAACACCTTTTTTTTTTTCTTCCCCATTTTCATAGGTCAGTAGAAACAGAAACCAAAGGTAAGTTTTAAAGTTTTTTGTTTTTTTGAGACCGGGTATTGCTATGTAGTTCAGTCTAGCCTTGAACTATGTAGCCCAGGCTGGCCTCGAAATCATAATAATCTTCCTGCCTCAGCCTCTCAATGCTGAGATTACAGGTCTGCACCACCACGCCTGGCAATTTTAAAGATTTAATTACTGCATATTCAGAAAAATCCTAGCCCTTGCATTTAGCTTTTTTTTTTTTTTCATTGCTATGAAGATAAAAATTGTCTTTAACAAAGGTTTACTAAGTAGTTAACATCAAGGTTTTTGAAATCAATTGGTATTTCCAATAAAAATGTCAGGTCATTGGATCATTCTCTTACTAATTTTGGAGGCCCATTTGTGAATCTTTTTTATAAGGACATTCACAGATAGAAATAAATTAGCTCGGACTCCCTGAATACCATCCATGCATGGCTGGGTCATAAGGAGGTGTTTTTGGTTTTTTTTGTTGTTGTGCTAGGGATCAAATTTGGGTCCTTGCACTTGTGAGGAGGACGTTTTTAGTTAAGCATGACCTATTATATTTGGATATATATTTCAAGCTGTTGTGAACACAAAATGGTTTTTCAATTCTAAGTTCAGCTATTTATTCTTGAATTCATTCCCTAAAGGTAATAGCCCTCCTGGTTTCATCAACCTAAAGCCTTGGCTAATTTTCTTTTGGTGACTCAAAGCAATATGAAGAGAAGGTGCAAGCAAAATGGGTGTCTGTCAATACTTAAGCATATGAATAACTGAGTGAGGGGACATGTTTGGAAGCTCCCTGTGTGCGTACCTAGGTCATAAGCCTTTGTCAACTCTAACTGCAAAGGCACAGCAGGTGCTAGGGCCTCCTAATCACCCAATTCTAAAGCTTTTACCTAAGTTGTACTAATTAAGGACAAGGGGAAAAGCACTTTTTAAAGAAAACAAAAAAGGCAGGCTCAAAGTGACTACCTCTCTGGCCTGCTTCTGACCTCAGGTCTTGGTGCTGCTGCAGTCCTGGCTGGTCTCTCCTGCATCTCTCACTAAATGTGCTTCCTGCACCCGTGCGTGCCCATACCGTGATGACTACACGACATACAGTGCACTCAGATGTCAGTCCTTACTTGTCTTAAATCAGTAAGAGTAAGGTTTGTATTTGACATGGGCATTACAGGCCCCCGTCCAACTTCACAAAGGAAAGGGTCGCATCATATTTCTGTGGTCTTTACATCCAAGCCTGGCCATGAACACTGAGGCTGAAGCACATCAACATCTACAAATATGTAACATATTATAAATGTTAAATCCTAACGTTCCTTCTATTTAGTTGGTTAGAAATAGTGGCTCTCTTCTTAAAAATAGCTAGAAATAGCTACTGTATTTGAGAACCCACTTACAGTCATGGCAAGCAAAATTTTAATCTTGAAAATGGAATATTCTAATTAATATTTGGAAGAATGTATGTGTATGTGAAATTCCTTAACATTTAAGGAAATGCTATATAATTTCTATTATAGAATAGGTTTTTGGATGGATTTTCTCCTTTGTCCTTTTGCTCTGATAAATAGAATCAGTTTAAGACTGTTAAGGAATATTTTAGAATATCCTCTCTTATTTCAAAGTCATCTCAAAGTTTTGCTAAATAAAAACATTTGAAAAGAAAAAAATAGTGGAGTTTAAAATGTCTTTATAAACTTCTTGTAAGTGTAAACTAACAATATAAACTAACCTCTCTCTAGCAGACCAAACAGCCAAATGAGCTCCACTTGCCAACAAATAACTTAGAAATGAAGGGGGCGCTAACAATCAATCACATTCAGTCACAAGTTAAGACACAAGCTCCTGTGTCCACACTCAAGCCCCGCGCGAATAGTCAAGTATGGAAGGCAGAGTAGGCTAGTGTCAGCCACTGTGGAAAGTCCTGTGCACAAAGTGCTGTCATCATAAATGTGTGAGGCAAAGAAAATCTTTATTGCCACAGAAAGCAAGTGCACTCATCCCACCTCACCAACAACTTTAAGAGTCACAAAAATGCAGACTTCACACAATAAAGTACAACAGACTTGGGGAAATGGTCCCTTGGACGCTGTAATACTGAGGTAACCAATTGGCCTTGTTTAGTGAAAATACCTCTAACACAATGAAAAACAGCAACTAGTTATAACATCCAATTCATATATACATTTCAAATAAAAATATATATTATTTGCTTTAATGTATAGCAAGTTTAATAATTAGTGTTTACAAAATAAAACTGTATTCTACTGAAGTTTTTCTTGTGCTTCCTCATCACTAAGCTTGAAAGATCAGAAAAGTATGATTCTTAAGGAAACTTATTCATGATTTAAAGATGCAGTTTGTGGGTTCACAAAAGATAGATAAATATTAGTTGGAAGTTTATTGCATCTTTAAAAACTGTTGCTTATTAAAGTCTACAAACTTGAACTATAAGACACAACAAAAAAAAGAGCACAAAATTTCTCAAAATAGATTAGAATACAGGAAACGTTTCATGAAACTACTGCGATACTAACCAGTGCTATGGCTAATATTAAAAACTGAACATTCTATTTAAATCTTACTCATACTACACTTTACACACAGTGAACAATACAACCACAATAATCAACCTCAAGCTAGCAACAAAGTTGCAGGGTCCACAAGAAGCTTCTTTAGTGGGCAAAATACTATGGTACAATTAAAACATTCAGGAAGGGAGAAAAAGCCTTTTAATAGTATAAAAGTTGTTTACTGGTGTTTCTACTATAAAGCTCTCCTACATAACAAAATGAAAACAGCTATTATGTATGTGACAGTGATCAGAGACTACAGTGCAGACATTTAACATTTGGCTGACGGATTTCAGTATAACAGATTATGACTTAATATTTATTACACAGTTATGATCTGAAGAACTGAAAGCAGACACATACTTATGTCAACACACCATTCTTGGCAATAACTGGGTAGGTAAACCTGTAGGAAATAGGTAAACTGTCAAATATCTTTCTGAAACCAGCAGGGAAAAGATGTATATTGGTAGATGTTGGATTTGTAACTTTTTTGTACCACTATAGATTCGAATGTGAAATTCTCCTAATTATGTCAGTACATTATAAACACTTAAATATACCCCATATATATAGAAAATATATATATGCACGCAGTCCATTAATTGAGCAGGGAAAATTTAAAACATACTGCCAAGCTAAATAAATTTTAACAAAAAACTGCATTAAAAAACCTGAAAGGTATAAAAAAATGAAAATGTAAAATAAATACTGAGTTATAGCTGTTAACTAAACGTCCACAGAACTACATCTGCAGATGTGGACGCAGGGATGCCCTGGCGGGAAGATGGCCCATGAGAGCCACTGTGTCTCTGTGGCCCCTTGGCAGGGTGAAGCGTTTCTGGATGTAAAACACAGAACTGCGCATAGCTCTGTTAAGTCACCATCTTTGTCACATTTAAGGTTAACTCACTATGTCTTAATCTGTTTAGCATGTTCTGCAATACCAAGGCTTGCACACATTAGTCCCTTCGTTTCAAGTTCTCTGCCCAGGTAGTATCTTCCTCTCTTCGTTGCACCTTAGGTAGCTATGATATTATACAGTCAGTTAGGTAAGGTGGATTTTCTACTCTAGTGATTTTTAACTTTCCTTCAACATTTACTGTGTAAATGTGCACTGATTAAACCAGTGAAAATGACATTACTGAATAAATGCTACACATTTCCTATTAAACAAAATCAGTTTTATCAAATATTAAATACACAATATTTTCCTTAGCTTAAATGGAGTATTGTTTTCTATTTTTCTAGTCATTGCAACCTTGCCAATAACTATGTCACTTAGACTTTCTTTTTGACTGCAAAGGTTCTAAACTCTGATGTATATTTACGCTAAATACACTTAAAATAGACAATAAAATTTCAAGTAAAATAAACTGTATCCACATCTATTAGACCAAACAGGCCTGACATCTAGATTTTTTAATTCTATAAATTACACAAATACATTGTACATTCTTAAATAATGAATGCTTACAATATTAACTTGTAAGCCTTTCCACATAAAGCGACTTACACAGGAATGTGAATGGATCAGTACTTGTTACAGATTGCAGCACTCTCCTGATCTTCTCTTTTGTGACTGCTGTTTTGTCTTCAGATTTCCACAGACTACTGAATAAGTCCTTATACTTTGGCTACGAAATCTGTTTGAGCTGAATGAGGCAACATTGGTTATTAAGGCTTAATTCTATGATGGAGCTTTATCCTTAAATGTGATGCCATTTCCAGAGAATAGTGTGAGAATCCCAGCTATCTCGAATCTTCAGGCTCTGTTTTGATGACTTTCTTTTCCAAGGTGAAAGCTGAATGAGGGTAGTCTTTTAAAATCCCAAGGCTCTCTGCATAAAAATGAAAACACAACATATGCTATTATTTTAAATCAATGAACTAGAAAAATAAAACAAAGTTATAAAACAAAATTCCACAGAAAATAGTATCAACTATTCAATAATTCTGCAGTTCTATGTAAAAATTTATTTACAGAGCTGTGGTTAAAAAGGTGGATTTAAATTTCAATGCCAATTACTAGCCATATAGCAAGTCACACCCTAAGCCTTAGTGTCTTCACCTATAAAATGAGGCAACTATCTATGAGACAAATCATGAGATGAATGTAAAACAATGAGCATATAAAACATACTGTTTTTAAAAATGCTTGGTACAAAAGGAAAAAATAATGTAAAACAAAACATCACTTATACACAACTGTTATTAGCTAAAATATTTAGTATCAAAGAAGAAACGAGATAGGAAAGCATCTTTAATGTTTAAATATGGAACTATTTTTTAAAGTTCCTCCAGCTATGATACACTAAGGGAAAAAAATAAAGACTCCACTTTCATAAGAAATCTATTTAGAGTTATAAGTGTTTAGTTATTTCAATCTCACAAAAAATGTGATTATTACATGAAGTACTAAATACCAGGAGATAGATACATAGACATAGACATAGACACACACACACACACACACACACACACACACACACACACACACACACAGACTCCAAAAAGTTTATCCAACACCATTTATCTGAAATTAGGCAGCTCAATTTATAAATCCACTCTCTCAATACAGAAAGGGATTTTAATTTGTACATAAAAGTAATAAAAATAGTAATAGCTACTTACTGAATCCTTTTCAGCCATAAAATTTTATATACACTGTTGATCTATCTTTCTTAACTACTTATGAGTAAAAATTATTAACATTTTACAGATGCAGTAATGGAGGGACAAACTAATTCAGTTAGGGTTACTGAGTCAGGTATCATCAGTGCTGAGATCTAGGTTCACATTTGCCCTGTATGGAACCTGAATTACCTCTTCTCAATTTTTTATATTTTCTTTTCTTTTTCTTTTGGTACCTGGGATTGAACTCAGGTCCTTGCACTTGCAAAGCAGGGGGTGGAACCACTGAGCTAAATCTCTGGCCCTCTTCTCAATTTTTTAAAAAAATAGAAATTATTTTTAGGTATTCCTTTGTTTTGTTCTACTTTTATAAAACATTATCTAAACTAAACCTCTGGGCCAGGTGTGATGAAAAACATGGTGAATATTTAAAGTAACTTGTAACAGTAAAAGACATATTGCCATTAATTCCTTTCAAAATCCCCTGCTTGCTTCAAACACAATTATTCCATCATTTTTGCCACTTTCTCAAGCGGTTCTAGACGTCTTCTCTCACGCATGTTCGTAATTGTGCTGCTGTGGCTCCCTTAATGTCCTGAATCGATGCCCAAACTTTTACCTGTCACAGTCATTTTGACTTTGAGGAAGAGCCAGAAGTAATACCATGCCACATCCAGTGACTGAGGTAGGTGAAGACACACTGTCATGTTTTTACCAGACTGCCTTTTCATCTGGATAGCACGCCACAGTGGTGCTCACCATATTTTTTGATCACACCTTGTAAAGACACTCATGAAAGAGGACTTCCAGAACTGCTTCAGAAAATGGCAATAACAAAGGGATCAGTGTGTTCAAAGTGAGGGGAAGTATTCTAAGAGGGATAAAGGCCATGTATCTTTTACTGTAATATTTTAAAAATTTTAAAATATTCACCATATATTCTGACCATATTTCATACTAGAGATGCAAACTATGCCTTCGCAGTGAGAAACATAATCAATTAGAGGATTTCTTTTATAGACAGAGTTCAAAGAAATTTAAACTAGTAGAAAACTCTAGTTTTAATTTTAAACAACTTTAAAGATTACTTTTTCATGTTGCAGAAAATGAGACAAATATGTTATTTTAGAATAATCTCAATTTCTTAACCTTCACAGTCTTAAGGCAGCTAAAAGTGAGTATGAAACAGAAGACCAAATTCATAGTGCCAAATATTATTCAGAACTTTGGCCTTTTTAGCATCTACTAATTGGAGCATGAGCAGAAAACTAAAAGAGAGAAACTTTCTTAGTAACTCTTTTCCTGGTAAATCTATAACCCACTCTACCAGATATAAAGTCAGGTTTAATTCTAATGCTTTTAAAACTACTTTTCCCACTTGCTTATAATACAAATGTAGAGCTATTTTACCCGGTCTTGGCTTCCTGATCTATAAAATCAGTGACATGAAGTAACTCCTAAATTTACTTGAATTCAGAGACTGAATGAATGATAGGTTCTTTTGAATGGTGCTAATCTACCACTGTGTCTGACTCACTTTATTTGAATAAAAATAAGTAAATACCCAACTAGAAACTGCTTAGCCTTTTATGAAGTTTACTTCAGATATATGAATATCACCCCCAAAATACATCTGCATTAAAAATTTAGACTTTATTACACAAGATTTTCTTAGTAGAAGAGTAAATATATAGTCCATCAATTTTGTATTAGGTTATAACACGAAAAGGGTGAACCAGCCAAATTCAAAGCAGCCATTTATTAGTCAGTTTAAAAGTCACCACTTATGTAACAGCTAATGAAAATAATCTCAATGTTCTGTGTTTCCCCTATCACTCTTTGGAATATATGTTATCAAAAAGACTAGCTAATGTTACGGCAATCTATAATGTGCAAGAGGAGAGAAACTGACTAGTAACATTGTTCTGATGCCATCTGGGGACTGGGAGGAAGAGGGACAGGAGCAGTAGGGGAAAAGAATGGGCAAGGGCTTTGGTCAAGTTCCACTCTGCTCAGACTCTGCATTCTCACCTGATGAGTGGGACTTGGCCTCTCCAGGATAAAGTCTACTCAGCTCCCCGTCCACCACAAAATGATGAGGTTGTCTGCTTGGTAAACTAGGCATCCGGAGATTCAGAGGTCTCTCTCCTGATGAAAAGAAAAACTAAGTATGAGTAATACTAAAAACACACTAGTGCTTTTCTTTAAAATGTTTTCAAAAATTTCCTGAACATTTCTTTGGAAAAGAGCAAAGTCAACAGGCACTGAAGAATTTGAATAATAGTGGGCAAAAAAAACTGTTTAAATAATACTTTAGAAGGAAAATGGAAGTCATTTTATACTACTTCCAAAATACACGATTCTACTTGGACACTTTTAAGAGCTAAAAATGAACTAAACAAAAGACACAACTGTAGTAAGGATTCCAACTCTGGACTATAACACATTTCCTCTCCAGGCATTTTCTTACTGGGACAACCATTTTCCCAAGGCACATCATTAACCACACAGTAACAACTATTAGCCAGACAGAGATAGCTTCAAGCCAATTATAGATTTAAAAAAAAACTATGAAAAAATAATTAGTGCAGATACAGTAAAAACGCTCATCTATCAAATGACCATTGATGCTACCCCACACTAAATTATCCTGGTCACTAGTCACCAAATCTGTCACAGTTGCCTTTGCTTAACTGTTAAAGATGACTGGAGAAGTTAAATAAGACCTCAACCAAAAAGTCCCTATGATATTTTAAAGAGGCAGAATCTCCTCGTCCCCCAGCACTTTGATCTGCTGACAAGTCAGAGCTGCATTCCACATGGGAGAGTGACTGATTGTATGATGGTGTTCTTACTTGGACGGAAGACTTACTGACAACAGTACCACTCTCTAAAAAATGTAAGGATAATATAAAAAGACAGTATAAAATTCCTGCTTTCTTCAAATGCTGGTAACCATTTGAAGCTGGAGGCCGACTGCACACTCTTGACACTGCCTACCCCAAGCAGCACCAAGCTCTGCCTGGCGGTGCACCTGGCTCACTCCTCAGTGCTACACCATTAGATGTGTCGGACAAGGGAGTGACAACTTGAGATTTTTCTTAAGACTGCAGGTTCACTAGAGAGACAGGGAGGAAGGAAACGACCTGTACTGCTCACATCTCTCAACTGTACCACCACTCAAGCACATATGCCAACTAGCATATAGGAATAATGAAATTTAAAAATCTTATAAATTAAATTTACAGGATGCATTCTTCCCCTTTTTAAAAAGGGAAGCAATTTAAAATTAATTTTCACAGAGAACTGATAATCTCCACAAAACATCAAGGGTTAAAATCAGCAATCCTTCCCACTTCTGTTGGAGCATGCACAGCCATGGCCCAAAAGGCCCAGGTGGGCTGTGCAGAGCGCTACCTTGGCCATCCGAGGTCTCGGCAGACAGCCCGTTGGGGCTGTGCTCCTCCGAGCCCTGCCGGTACAGCCCCGCAGACTGCCTTCTCTCCGCATGCTGCAGTCTCTCATAGCCAGCTTGGGCGCACAGGAACTCCATCTGCTTTGCCATCACCTTTTCAGGCTGCTAGTAAGTGAAGCAAAAATAAAATCAGTAACTAAAACATTCTACAGTTTTTAATGGTTTAGATGCCACTTTCAGACTGCAGCAAATATATTTAGTATTCATTAAAATTAGTTCACACTTCATGTGGTATACTTGGTTCCATAAATATGAATAAAGGTCTATATCATGTTAAAAAACATAAAATGCTGGAAAAAAGAAAAAAGCTTTCTTCTCAATCCTATGAAGACTATTCCATTCCAGTTCAAAGGAACAAAACCTCAGCTTTGTTTTCCAAGGTACCTAGTGCTTTAAAGGATTTTTCAAAAGGAACCTAAGAGCAATAGCAACATCTGCTATCAACTGCTTCTAACACACTGGGTGAAATCTTGTCATTTTTATTTTAGGATTTGGCACTACACAGACTCCTGGGAGAGAGTATGCTTGGGAGAGAATAAGGTATAAAATGGGTGTCTAGAAGAATAAGACAAACACACCTCCTACTAAAATTAAACAATACAAACTACGCAGAAAAATATCAATACCAAGGAGGGTCTTCATCTTCATCACAGAATGAAACCACAGTATTTTTCAACCAATCATAAAGAACATGTTTTAAAATATAAAATTAGTGAGGTGACATATATATTTACCTCTGTCTTTTCTCTCTGTGTTTTATAAGTTCCTTTTCTATGCAGTGTTCTAAATTACTCGTACATGATATTCAAAGCAATGTATCTGTGATATTTTACCAGGAGGTAATAGTCAAAATGCAAATATGAATCACTACCGTGTTATGTAAGAGACTGGTACATGAAAGCTGCTATATAAAATTGGTTACAAAAAGTCATGAATCACAATATTAAAAACCAGCAGGTAAAATGTCTTAATTCACTCAACACATATATGATGCTCATACTATTTTTCCAGATGTACATAAACCAGATCAAAAGTAACTACAAATTTATTTCATTTGAACTTGTTACTAGTTAACTAATAACATTTCAGTTAAGTACTTCTGAGGGGGAAATATATTTGTCATACACTTAATGTGAAAAAACAAGAGCTGACAGTATTAAATTTGAATAAAAGCAAGTCACTAGGGAGAAACAACAGGAATAAAACTTTCAGTGCTTTCCAAAAGAAAATGTTTGCAGAAAAGACTTTTTAAATGATCATTTCAGTGTTCATACATAAATAATGGCAAAGGACCTGAAGATACATATTAATCTAACACTTTTTCAGTACACAAATTCAAATAAGTGAATAATTTGCATTAAGTATTAATATCTTATTGAGAATCAGTACTATTTTATCTCAGAGTTTTAGTATACACAGCCCCAGTCGGCAAGGTTGCTTTCCTGATACTACTGCTTCTTTTCCGTTTTCTTCAGTAGAGAATCTGTCCACCAAACTATAAGGAATAACTAGTGCCGATCAGATTCTGTTCAGGAACCAAATCAAACCAAGTGGTTACTGCTGCCATGTTGATATAGCTATGGATCATGACATTTTATTTTATTTTATTTTATTTTGGTACCAGGGATTGAACTTGGGTCCTTGCACTTGCAAGGCAGGCCACTGAACTGCTGAGCTAAATCCCCGGCCCATGACATTTTAAAAACAACTAGAAATAAACATAGTCCTCAAGATCCAAAAACCAAAACTACTTGAAGCAGCCATTTATGTTTTAACTTTTAGATCTTAGGAGGTAATAACTGGCAGTTTATGTTACCTGTGAACTAAGAGCTGTGAGTTCTTCACTCTTAGCTCTCGCTTGTTGGAAGAGTGTTTGCACAGAATCCTGGAAGTCTGGAAACCCATCCTGGGAGTCAAAAAAAGAGTTCTTAATATGTAAAACAGAAAATATCTGTTTCAAAAACTCAGAAAATAAAACAAAGAAAACCACCTTACTTCCACTATGCAAATCATCACGGAAGATTTTAACATATGCTATTTCATTTCAATCTCTTAGGGTAAAAATACTTTATGATCTATCTACACTGTAATTTCAATAAAACATGAATGAAAATGTTTTAGACTTGAAAACAAACTTTATCATAACTGACAATGGTTATATAGCATTTCAACTAATGGTTCAACTAACCACATGCAATTAACCCTTCACAATAAGCTATGTCCCTAACCCTTTTTTATTTTTGAACCAGGGTATCACTATGTTGCTAAGTTGCTCAGGGTTGGCTCAAACTCGCCATCCCTCTGCCTCCACCTCCCAGAGTGTTGTGCAGTTACAAGCATGGGTCACCAGGTGCAACTCGATATTTTACATGTATCATCTCATTAACCCTCCTCAGAAACAACTCTGGGTTTCCACTGTTTCTGTCATTTTACAACTATTGACAGTGGCTTCCAAGCCCATGCTCAATCTATAAAACCATATAGTTACTATTTTATGAAACTCCTAATAATAAATACAGGCATTTCTCGTACAGTCTGTCTTTCACAAGAACTGGCTTTAGCTGTATTACTTGCGCTTAATCTGAAACAAAATTTTACCTATTTCTGTGATACAGAGCAGGTTATTTTATTTTATTTTTTTTCTTCTGTAAAAGGTGTATAACACTGTACCTAGATAATTTACAGAATCGTTTTAGGAAGGCAAAAATGTCAAGTCATGGAAAATACTTAACACAGTTCTTAGCAAATAGAAATTACCCAGTAAATGCTTGTTATTAATATTGATTATCTGAATCCAAAGCTACCAGGTTTCATCAAGTAAAAAGCAGCAAGTGATAAGTGGCTTATCACACAGAACGAAAAGGATAAATTTCAGGGATATTTACAGTGAACTAGACACTGAACACTAAATCGAAGAGGAGAACAAAGAGTATATTGGTGGGGAACTGTCTTAGTGAAAAGCACACCAGAAATATAGAAATGCGTTTATGGATTCAACAAAAATGTTACCTAATAGGTTTATATACTGTACTTATATGGTGACAGAACAGCCAACAAGAGAGACACCTTCTGTGCACCTGGTTAATACAGACCGGAGAGAGAACCGACCAAGACATCTAGGGCACAGCAAAACCATTGTGGCAGAAATGCTCCCTCCCTAGAGGGCAGGAAGTCCAGGCTGAGACTTGGAGAAAGGAGGCTTATGTAAGGGCCTGGAGCTAAAAGAACAGGCTACATCCCGACACTAGAAAACAATATATATAAAATGGGGAATAGTGTGGACTGAGGAAGAGGAAGCGAGTGGAGAAGTTCAAAACACAGGGCCAGACTTTGGGTGGCTTTTAAACTATGTTAAGAATTTTAGGTTTTATCTTAAATTCAGAAAGAAGCTATTGAAGGTTTTAAAATAGAGACTGATCAGATCTGCATTTCAGGAAGGCCAACCTGTGATGAGGTCACAGGTAGGGACGTGGAGACAAGTTAGAGGGCTGTGGTAAGGAGGAGAATGGTGGCTCAGTCTGGACAGAGGCAGACAGAACAGAAATGAAAGAACTCCTGTGACCTGGCACTCAGGAGTCTGGCAGTGACATCTGCTATAAGGAACTATGAGCCAGGTCTAGAGAGGCAGCAGAAAATGGATGACTGACCAGGGCCATGCTCAGTGTGCAGGCTGGTGAGACCATGTACCTGTCAGCTAAGTAGGAGCCGAGTTTGGAGCTAGGTGCACAATCAGGGCTGCAGACCCAGACTGGAGAGTCACTGGCTCATCAACAAGCTCTGAGTGGAACATGCTCAGGCAAAATCCATGCGTGCCTCAATATCTGTTTTGTTTTTTTGGTACTGGGGATTGAACTCAGGCCCTTGCGCTTGCAAGGCAGGCAGAGGAACCACTGAGCTAAATCCCCAGCCCCTCAATACTGTTTCTGAAGTTTACAGAAGCAAAAAGAAGTTAGTCATATGTTAGGAACCAGATGTACTGTCTTAGGAAAAAAAGTTAACCTCATTTTTTCCAGTGTTCCCAATTTTTTTTTTTTTTTTGGTTTTTCGAGACAGGGTCTCACTATGTAGTTGAGACTGACCTGGAACTCACTATGTAGCTCAGGCTGGTCTTGAACTCACAATGATCCTCCTGCCTCAGCCTCCCGAGTGCTGGGATTACAGGCGCGCACCACCACGCCTGGCCTGTTCCCAAGTTTTAAATGGGGATTATACCACATGCTTTATTTTCCCAGAGGAGATTTGTGGGGATTAAAGAAAGCAATGCAAGTGGTAAATCATATCATACAAATATATGGTGTCACCAATGACAGGATTATTCAGCCATGGAAATGTTGAAAAGCTGCATGGTGAGAACTAACTCTGCGTGACAAAATTTCTGCTCTATTATTAATGAGGAGAAATAAAAGTTTGCAATAAGTAATACCAGTAACCAAGTAATTAGGTATCTTTCTGCAACTGAGTACATTAGTCATTCCTGATTTTTTCCCACAATCTTGGTAGCTCACTGTGGATTGGGGGGGCACCTAAGATCAAGTAGCTATCACTGCATGAAGTGTAAAGTAGGTGTAAGCTACCCAAAATACAAGATTTAAAAGAAAATAAAAGTGAGAACATTCCCAAGAAACTGGTCTCTTTCACATTACGTTTGATGCAGGACTTTTGTTACATGCATCTCAAGCTTTTTCTCAGCACCAGCTGTACCATGCTATGAGCAATTTATCTCCATGTCATATTCTTGGCTGCTGCCATTAATCACACTGTTCCCTTGCTGATGAGACTCTGGGTTTGAACGCTGAGAAAATAAAAGATATAGGGTGGGATGCTGTTCACGACCTCATTACTCTCACCCCATTGGTCTCCACCCCATTCCTCCTCATCTTTTTTGCCAAACACCAACAAGCCGTTCTACAGTCACTGTGTAGCGTCTTTAAATGACTTGTTACAGCAGATGTCATCAACCCCATTTTCCTTTTTTCTACTCACACGTTCTGTATGAACAACAGATTATAATGCTTCTGTTTTTCTGATCCAGAGGGAACCAGTCTATATCAGATTAGACCAGCTTTCTTTTCAACAAGCTTAGCAACAGCATAAGTGGATATTCTAACTCTCTTCTCTCCTGCTTCCTCAAAACCCTACTCCCACCCCAGTGGAACTGGTGGCAGATGTTTCCTCTAAGTCTTTCCTCATATCCCAGTTCTCTGGTTTTCTGAGCAGTTACCTTTCATCTCTTTCACCCAGTTATCTCTGCCTGCTTTGCAGCCCTAACCCCACAGGATAAGAAAGCTGTAATCTGTCTCTCTCTGCCTCATTTCCAGCAATTCAGTGAATAAGGAAACCTACAGAAGAGATACTAACAGTAGCAGTCCACTCAGTCAGTTGCCTTTACCAGTCCTGAGACTGGTGGCTTTACATATTGTTCCCACTTCTAAGATGTTCCTTACAACACTGGAGGTTATAAGCCAATGGAATCTACTTTTCATCAATGTTTTAAAAAATTCAGAAGACAAAACAGCCAGGGACTTTGACTGTTGGTTTTTCATCTCCTTGAACTAGGTGTCAACCATCTTAAATACATCCTGTCACAGCCATGTATAAACACATCAGACTAATTTTTCTTGATTTGCTGTAGCTTCCCAACACTGTTGTTATCCATTATAAACAATTAGCATATCACTAATAATATATATATATACAATTACATTTTATAATTCACACATTTTCTACTCAAAACTATCAGGTGTTTATTACCTTCCTTGCATTAGAAAGTAACTGCCACTCTTAGCCTTTCTTCAAAGACCACAGTCCTATGCACCTTTGCCCTTCACCCCCCATGAGTAGGAGGGAAGGTCTAGTCCCAGCAGTGTTTACTTCACACCTAAGGTGCTTTGTGAATACGCATCAGTACCCAAACAGGTGGTACTAGTTTGAGGTTTAGAAGTGAGACACTGATTGGAAACCCTGGCTCTGCCACCAGACAGCAACGTGGCAAGTTACTGGGCCTTTCCAGTCTGCCTTGGCTACAAAATGTGAATCATAAAGCTTCTATATAGTGTAGAACAAGGTTTGTGATAATAAGTTCCAAGTGCCTCGAAGTGAGTGGCACATAACAGTTAATAAAAAGTCATTATTTTTAAAAGTCATTATTTTTAGCTGCTGCACAGCTAAAAGATTTGGAGACCTTGATTAAGAAAGAAGAACAGAAAGAACTCTCTTGTTGAAAGTGGACTCACAGAAGCTGCTCCCTAGCCTGGGCAGAACTGCTCCCAAGCTGTAGCTAGCATACAGGGTGTAGGTGATTCCCCTAGAAGTTCCCCCCCAGGGGTAGTTTCCCTAAGGCCAACCCAAGATAGGAGGCTTTTCTTTCTCTGTGGCTATCTCATTTACTCTAGGAATAAAAGAAATGAAGTTTAAATTTGCTACTGTTTTTATGTCTAACATACTCTGGAAGGGTGACCACTACCTAAGGATGACAGATTATCTTCAGTACTTTTATGCAATGTATAAACTAATATTTTAAAAAACAAATGAATAGTAGCTAACTATCCTTAAGAGAGAACCTTCTGCATAGTGTTTTCTAGGGAAGAAAATCAGACAAGTGTTTTAAAACTTCATTCTAACCAACTCTTCATGTACAGATCAGGGAAATACAGTATTTAGCATGGAGAAACGGGCTTATTAAAGCTTGAACAAAGTACTATTTTTATTAGTGTACTCTCATGCACTGATAATGGCAAGAAAATGTTTCTCTTTCCCTTACATGTCAAATTATTTTGATATAATTTCTATCTACTACATTATATTTTCCTTTCGTGAATTGGAAAAAAAAATAAGCTGAGCAACTTGGCATGGATGTTCATTGGTTGGTGTAATAGATTTTGAAAAATAAAGACGAAAGGGAAAGGAAGAAAATATCTCATTAACTTGAACCTAGTAACTAGGAATCAGTTACAAGTTTATATTTTTTTCCTTAAGTAAAGAGTAATATGCTAAGAATCACAACAAAGAAGTTATTAAATAAGAGCAAAAGTACATGCAAAGATTTCTAAAATCTTTTCTATGAAGTCTGCTGTGTCAATCACATATCCAGATAAATGCTTCTACTTACCACTCTCTAAACATGCTTAGTATTCTCTTACCTCTGCCTTTGCCATGCTACTTTACATTTTTAGACTACCCCAACTCCCACCGACATCCCTACCTTCTGAAATTCTGACCTCCTCTTAAAATGTGGCTGAAGTGATACCCTCCCTCTGAAAAGCTGCAACTCTTCTCATGCCAGAAAGTCTCCCTCTCTCCAGTAGCCACATAGAAGGTGGACAGAAACAAAGCACTAACATTCATGAGAAGTCTTAACGCATTCACAACAGCACTGTAATTTCTGTCTCACTGCCAGGAGGCTCGGAACCACCCACTGGTACATGCACGACTGTCCATCGGGTGGCCTGGGACCCTTCTATCGGGTGATGTGGATAGTACAAGCCACCTGATGAGAAAGTCATGCACATACCATCGGTGGTTCAAGCTGGCAGGAATGTGTTAAAGGAATAAAATCCCTTTACAGTCAATACTAACTACACCTCAGTGTCAGCTTTCAGAACCAAAAGAACAGCTCAAGAATCTAAAATTTTACTTAAGAGTACACTAGAACAGAATTTAGACTTGGATTTATACAAAGACTGTATTTTGTAAAACTCATCTACAAATGATACACAGATTGAAGAGATATTGATGACTTGCAATATGTAAGTAATTTTTAACAAGCCAAGGAAAAGTAAAACAAAATTTAAAATCAACAATAAAAAGTGAATTCACAGCTAACATTTCTATTTCTGTGAAGCAATATCAAGAGTTTGATATCTACAAAAGTACAGTAATACTGCAGCAGCCATTAACTGGCTCTGGCAGGTCTAAGGAATACTAAAACCCGCTAAGTACTGTACCAAACAAATTGTTCTGGCTGGAGAGGGTAGTGAGTCTCCACTCTGAAAAGTTCTAGCTTCACTGTCAAGTACCAAACAAATGATAAGTACTAGGACAAAATTTTCACATAGAAATCCATCAAGTGTCAGATTCAATGAGATTCAATGGAGTGTTGAGGTCTGACTATTAAAGAAGTGTGGGGCTGTCTTATTTAGAAGGGTAAGAATACAAGAAAAGGAAACACTGATTATTTTAATTTTGGATCCAGAACTGTCCAAGTGGCTTTGTGAACTCTATTAAAACAGTAATCATACAGAACTATAATTGAATTATTTGTAGAGGAATAGAAGACTTAGATCTGATGTTGTAACTCAACATCTGGGCCTCTAGTAAGAGACTCAAAACACTAAGGATTCAAGAAACAATCTGCTTAAATTTCAGATAGACCTACTGAGAGTCAGAAAGACAAGACAGACAAACACGAAGCAATGGCAGCTCAAACTATCCCAGACCACAAATCTCAATGATCCATTGTGACAAAAAGAAAAAGTGCATCTTAAATGTGAGAAGCTTGATCACACTGAGGCCCAATAGTGAAAAGCAGAAGTGGATGCATCTCTAGGCTAGCAGCTCACTCTTCTTCCTGGCCCAGAGAAGAGCCCTATTCTCATCCAATGGTGCAGACAGACATGACTACATACAACAGTTTCAGAGAGAGGGAAGTGCCGTGCAGGTGAACAAAAAAGCCAAGAGAGCAACCTGTGTGTGATCTGGGGTTAAGGAAGTTCCTTTAGAAAGGCAGGCAGGAAGTCGGGGAAACTCAGCTGCCACATACAGCAACCTTGAGAAAATAACACTAGGGAGAGGATGAAGAGTGAGCGCTGAGGTGCAAGAGAGTTTGGTCTGCTCTAGGAAGGGAAGGTGGGCCATGTAGCCAGAACACAAGATGCAGTCAGCCCAGGGAGGGTCTTCTTAGATGCCTCAGGGGAAGTTTAGATTTTATTCTAGGTACAGCAAAAAGCCACTGAGAAGATTTAGGCAAACAAGGGGTTTAAGCTGCTGTAAGGGAATTCTGGCCTTAGTATGAAGATCACGTACAAACAGGCACAGTAAATGATGTGATGATGGACAGTTAGGGGAGTCAAGCACAACTTATTTGCTGTAACATAATTAAATAACGGGATGGCAAAGACTACCAACCCCCACCCGCTGCCCAAGAGCTGAAAGGGAGACAGGAGTGGCCTGACTTCAAATTTCCACTCTGCTACAGGCTAGACATTTCAAGAGTATTCAATCCAAATTAAGAAACAGCAGTTCTGAAACTATCCTACACTTCTGAGAGCCCTGAGAAATGCACATATTTCTTCCTCAACTCCCACCTTACCACTTGCAAATCTAAAATCAGAACAGACTCAACCAGGGTTCTCAAAAAGACTTTAGTTTCAGTAAAGTCTCCCTGATTTGTAGCTACTAAATTGTCATTTCCTTCAGACAGCTAAAATAAAGAAACTAAAAGTTCCTGTGAGTGTATTTGACGATATGACTAATGATATAAGATGTTAAAAGGAACTGTTTAACCAGTAAAGAGTTTTAAATCTGTAAAAAACACTAATTTGCAAATCAAACTGTGACAAACTGACTGGATGTCAATCTAGGCAGTTATTTCCTTTTAAGAATTTCCCTAGTTTTCTAGTTCAAATTACCATAGATAAGTCAGATTAAAATAATTCCCTACTGTTATTTTCCCCCAAGTGCTGGGGATTGAACTCAGGACCTAGCTAGGCAAGCTCTCTAGCACTGACTACACCTCCAGCCCCTACACTGCTTTTAAAATTATGCGATTCTTTTTCCATTTGAGACCATCTTCTTTTCTTTAATTGAGTTTAATGATACATTTTAGGTGTACAGTACAGTTACATTCATCACTGGGATCTTGTACCTCCACATGACAGGTCTTGGTTTTCATTTTTTCCCCTTGTCCCTGCCCTCCTTTCACCCCCTCCTCCCCTCCCCATTTACAAACACTTTATTTCCATTTTTTCATCTTCTCATATTTTTTTCTTTTCCCTTATTCCCTTTCCCCTACCCTTCCTACTTTCCCCACACCTTTAGCCCTTCATTGAGACCATCTTTTTTTCTAAATTAGTAAGATTTTACTTTATAATTAAAGATCTCAAAACAGAAGCAAACAAGACGTGTAAGAAAATATTACACATAATTATACCTCCACTTTAATTCTCTTTGGGGATAATTCATCTCTTTCACCACATTTTGACCTAAGGGGAAGAAAGAGAAATACTTGAGAAGACAGTAGCCACCAACCTACAAACTCCCCACAGAGAAATCATTCAATAAACATTTCACAATTAGCATATAAAAAAGAAGAGCCTATCAAGGAGGCTATCCCTTCATGGTTCAGCAGAAACAATTTAAGATAAAATAACAAAAATGACCATTAAGATGAATGCTGAAGATTTAACATACACAAGATTAAAAAAGCACTTTGTTGTACTTGGCTCCATAGCTCAGGGGTTAGAGCGTTGGTCCTGTAAAATTGTTTTGTCTACACACCAGCACTACAGATACACTTACCTTTGACTCAGGAATTTCTCAGCTGGACATCTATCCCAGAGGAACTAACACATACATGTAATGACACTCCATCAATTCTACAACACACAATTACTTCACGTGCCACTCTGAAATATGACTAATTTATAAGTCATCAACTGTAAGTTATACCTCAATAATAAAGATGTTAGAATGTGAAGAAGTACTCAGAATAAACAAAATATGATGTATGTTATTTATTGTGGCATTATTTTCAATAACAAAAGACTGAAAATAAGTCAATATCCACTAACTGGGCCAATGCATATATACTAATATAGAAAGATTGCCAAGATTTGCTAAGTACAATAAAAGCAAAATATAGAAAAGTATAGATGTATGCTTTTATTTTAAAAACGGGTGAAAATGAGAATATATTTTTATTCATTTGCATGTATACAACAAGCACTGGAAGATGACAAAGAAACTACAAAAACTTCCTATATTGAGAACAGGGAAAAGAGGTAGGAATGGAAGCACAACTTCACAGAACTGACAAGAAGGGGGAAGGTGTCAGAGTACAGGAACTGCAGTTTCATTATGAGCCTTGAGTATTTCTTAAATCATAACCATGCATACATACATATATACATATATTATACATATATGTATATATGTGTGTGTGTGTATATGTATATATTTTGTTGTTGCTGTTTGTTTGTTTTTTGAGACAGGGTCTCACTATGTAGTTGAGACTGACCTTGAACTCACTACGTAGTCCAGGCTGGTCTCCAACTCACAGCGATTCTCCTGCCTCAGCCTCCGAGTGCTGGGATTATAGGCGTGCGCCACCACGCCTGGCTACCATGCATATTTTGATTAAAGAAAATTATCTAAATGCAGTACTCTGAAAATTTTGTATAATACAGTACAGAAAATACAATATAAAACAGTAAAAACAAAAAAACAAAAAAAACCAAACCACTAACTCAGCACTTGATAATCTGATTTCAGAAAAAAAATTGTAGAAACAATCTTGTCATGTCACTACATATTCTTTCTCTGTTCAGTCTACCTAATTTTGCTTATTATATAGTTGTAAATGTGAAGTTGCCAAGGTAGGCCAGAAAATGAAACTATTGTGAGTTGAGGGAAACAACAGTTAGTGATAGCACATGCCTAACTTTAACCTTGAGTAAGTACAAGGCTCATCTGAGATATATTGGAAAACTTCAGATTACAAGGTTCCATCTTCCAAAGACTAATTTACTATGCTTGGGAAGAGTGCTGATGGTGTGAATTTTCTACAAATATTCAGTGTTTCTCTCATGTAAGTGGTCATTTATGTCTACTCACAATAACAGTGACGTATACAAAAGACAACAGGATGGAAATAAGGCTCCATGCAGAACCATGTGAACAAAATAAAAATACCTATACTAATAGCTATAGAGAATGATTAGGACATGCACTGAAAAGTACTGTATGTGATTTTGAAGCCACCATTTTTTTAAACATTACATTTTTTATATTTCAAATTCACATTCCATATTCCATTTCCTACTAGTAAAAATACTTTCAATTTCCCTTAAATGCTGGTCAAGAGTCTTTTCACATATTCAGCTAACTTCAGATTACAAACAACTTACCACTTTGATTCCTCAGTTCAGCAAGTTCATACAGTTAGTGAGGTGTACCACAAAGTAAGTCTATAAAGGCTGTCTAAATCCCATCATCCACTCAGAACATAAGTGTGTGTGAGAAAAATGTCTATGCTAACACAAGAACAATGTTAAAATACTAAGAAACAATGTCTTTCAAGACAGGAAAATTAGAATCAAAACAATGAACATTTCTGCTAGGAGCAGAAGTTCTGGTATGCTTCTTACACTGCAGGGCGACTGGAGGTTAAGTTTGAGTAGTATGTTACAAAACCTCAGGAAAGGCTTTGACTGTTGGGTTTTTTCTTTACCATAAATTAGTAGTAAATATTTGAGGAGATAGATATGTTTAATCTGGTTTAAACATTATATAAAGTTTACAAGCACTGAAATATCACGTTATCCCATTAATATGCACAATTTTTATGTGCCTGTTTTAAAAATTATTAAGAAATCACTTTTAACAATATTTTTTTTTTTTTTGTACCAGGGATTGAACTCAGGACCTGCGCTTGTGAAGTGGGTGTGGTGCCAGTGAGCTAAATCCCCAGCCCAACAATCATGCTTTTAAAAGTCATTACATTGTTTAGCTTTACAGAATTATAATCATGTTTACCTTTTTAGAAATGTTCATTCATATTCTAACAATGGAGGGGGTTTCAATCTTGCCTTCTACCAAGCAACTCAAACATACTGCTGATTAGTCAACACTTACTTGGTGGTTCTGTAAGTATATTTATAGGTGACTTCTCGAGAAATCTGCCTAGCCAGGGCAAAAAGTTCATCTCTTCGTGTCAGTAGGGCATTATCCTTCACACAGAGCTGAGCAGCTGCTTCATTAACAGTGAGCTGGATATTCAAAATAAAGTTTAAAAACTATAAACATTTTTATTTTATCAATATGTAAATGTCTCACTTAATATAAAGTTTATATAATAAATCATAATTCAAAAAAATCAGGATATTATCTCTAAAGCCAAAATTTAGAATAAAATCAACTCATTTACCATTTTGCAAAGTCTAAATTATTCAAAATTGTTATCTTAGTTTTATTTATTTTGTTTTTTGTTAGGAGGGTTTATGGACAATAAAGAATATAAAAAGTAACAAGTATTCTGAAGCTGAGTTTTCTTGTCAAAAAACAAAGGATTAGAACATGTAACAGGGTGAAAGAACGTCCCTAAAATTAAATATACATGGTCTGACAGCATTTTTAAAAATATGAACTGACATAAAAATTCTTAGAAATAAAAATTAAATCATTTTAAACACCAAAATCATTAACAAGGAAGTTATCACACATTAGGGATACCCTAGAAAATCAATGGTGACTCATCTTTTAAGATTCATCTAATTCTACCTTCTCATGATTCAGTAACTGTTAAATATTTCCAGTGACACTGTACTAAAACTTAAAATAGCAAATATCATCCTAAACTTGAAATCTCTAATTGTTTAATAATCTGAAACATGTTTTTCTCTTAATTTTGTAGATTTAAACAGCTACCAGGAACTGTCAGGAGGTATATCAGACTTTTTTAAAAAAGCAACTGAGCACTCTCAATCAAGCATGACCAATGGTGGAAAGGAAACAGGACCTGATGGCCACACCCCGCTGCTCTGTTACCAGCTCTGAGACTGTGGACAAGCAAAGGGCAGGACAGCAGTCTGAAGGTGCTTTGAAAAATGAGGAGAAGTGCCTGGCACAGGTGTTGTGTTGGTTCTTGTTTTTCTTTCATTAAAAAAAAAATCCTTTATTCAATTTTTTTCTCTACTCATTTAATCCACCTTTATTGATGTTATTTAAAAATTTTGAAAACATAGAGGCAAATGAGGAAAATAAAGTACATGATCCATGCAGAATGATCACTAATACTGTAATGCAGAACATGTTATTACGTTAATGTACACATTTAAACTTAAGTATATAATGTATGTACAGATTTGCAATCTCCTTTTTTCCGTGTAGACAGTGTAATTTTTATTTTTACCACATGCTAGGGCAGAGATTTGGTTTGTTCATATCAGCATCTGGTATGGGTTGTATGTTCAGTAAATATCTGTTCACTGATTAATGAATTTAAATTTCTATAATAGCATTTTTCCCTATAGACACAATATTCCATTATAGGAAAAAAAATATTATTTAAACCAACTCACATTAAACTACACCCAGTTGTTCATGTAGGCCACAGAATGTACTAATTTGTATGTCGTACTAAATTACCTTTCAGAAAAAGTTTCCATATCATAATGATACCAACAACTGTATAAAAAGTGAATTTCTTAGACTCTTGACTAATACTGTTTATCTTTCAAAAGCTTTACCAATTTCACATATTTTACATGACATTTGGTTATATATTTAGCTGACCATAAAATTGAACTTTTTTGTTTTTGACTTAGTTATTTTAAAATTTGCTTGCTTGTGACATTTTCCCAATTCTTCTAGTAGTGTTTCATTTTCTTACAGACTTTGGGAATTATTTATATATTAAGATCATTAACTCTCCACATATGTAGTGCTTTATTTTGTCACAGTGGTCATTAAGCTTTTACTTTCTGCCGTGGGTGAGTGCAAAGAAGCTTCTTTCCTGACTAATAATACATAAATGTTTTCCTATATTTGAGTTTAATAGCTTAATGTTTCCACTTAAGTATTTAATCCTCCTAGTGTAGGTTATAGTGTTTGGTATAATACGTATACATGTAACATCTTCCTCCCCAAATTTCCAACTATAATTTATGCTGGTTTGTTCTGAGACAATTAGTTTAGCTGACAGCAAGGTTAGAATAAGCCTAAGACATTATTTTAAATTTGAAGCTAAATATTAAAAGGTAATAACACTGTAGGAGGCTGATGCAGGCTGATCACAAGTCTGAGCCAAGCCTGGGCAACTTAGGAAGAGTCTGTCTTAAAAAAAAAAGTAAAGACAGAGCAAGCTGGGGATGTAGCTCAGTGCAAAACCCTGGTTCTCCCCTTACTGCCAATAAAAAACTGAAATCGAAGGAAGAATTTATTTTCTGCCTTCTCCTAAAAAGTCATCAAAGATCAATTCCTTCTCAAAGCGCTTTTGAAAGGCACAATGCTACTGGCGCTAAAAATAAAATGAATTTTAAAGAATGATATCCTAAGTAAACTGCAAATTCACCATGGTAGTAGCTACAGTGACCTTGAAGATCTTTCTCAAATTGCTTTTTAAATGTCTAATTGTTTTGTATTCACAAATCTAAATTGCAATAGAAAACCTTGTCAATAAGATATCTAAATTAATAACATTTCAGAAGTACTAGCTTATGCATAACCACAGATAACAACTTCTCAAAATGAACTAAGAACAGTGTTCTAGCATGCCTTCCATCATCTCTGGAGACCAAAGAAAACAAGCATAATATTATCAGGGAATACAGGCTGCAAAAAAAAAAGTAGAGCCTTTTAGCAGAAAATTAAGGCTAGAGAAACAATCCTAGGTCCTTCCCAAGTTGTGGTAAAAAGCTGCTTAAGTCTCCTTCAAAACCATATGTTATCAAGATTTTATGGCCTCTAGTTGCTAAAAATTAAATCAATTTATTCTGACATTTTTAAAAAATGACAAAAACACTTCAAAAAGTAGTCACTAGATGCAGCACCATGATAGCGTCTTAGAAAATGCCCATATTCTAGTTTTTCTAAAAGTAATAAGACAGTCTCCCTTACTGGTTTACTTATTTCCCCTATTTCCTCTTTCCATGGCCCAAAATACCAAAATTCCATTCATATTTTCAGGTAAAAGATTTCTGAAAGTTAGCTTTCTATCATTCTAGCTTTCCAAACTGAACTGACATGAACTGACAACAGCTACCTTTATCTTCAGGAAGTGTAATTAACTGATTCTATGAAAAAAAATTCTTCAGATAGTTGAAACTATAATCTTTAATAACCCAATGATTATAACTTTCTATTAATTATTGTTGCTACAAACATACTACATGAGTGCTCTATGACAAGGAGGCTCAACAGGCAATTGGGATTTTTATTTTTAGCACTCCGGAGGCTTACATACCATGAAGGATGATTCAAAACAAATAAAGAGTAAGGGGAGGACACTGCTAGGCTGGATAACCTGAACAATCTTCACAACGGGGCTGAGGAGAGAAGGAAGGGACAAAGAGGCAAAGCCTAGGGCCCCCTCCCACAAAAGTGAGGTGTCTAAGACCCCTGTCCTCCATATGGCTGAGCCCTCGAAGCACTACACATCAATGGAAGCCGAACTGGAAAATTTCTTCTAGTCACAGGGGAATGCCAAGAAAATTACCTGTCTTGAACCTTGGTGTTAAGTGGGAAAGAACAGAAGATATGCTGTTAACACTGTGTAACCCCAAATCCATCTTCATATTTATCATTAGCCCGAATTCACACTAAGTTGGCTAAGAAATTATTTTCACAAGGACCAGAGTTGTAGTGTCCCCAGTTGCCTGGTAGAAGTAAAAACAAATAACCTCTAGGGAAACTCACTTTTTGCCCAGGCCTCTAAACATTGAAAATTGCAAGAAATAGGAGTTCACTGACAGAAACCATGAAAGAGAGAAACAAAGCAGCAAAAGACAAACTCAAATCCTCAGCTTCATTTAAGAAATAAAGAGAGGTGAAAATATGAATGAGAAGCAACACTGTTAAAATGACCAAGACATACAGAAACAAAAGAAATTGGAGCAAAGACATAAGATTTAAAAAGCAGGCAATAAATTAACAGAATAATCACTAATTTCTAAACATAAAGAAAGCTGAAAGCCAATAAAATGGTATCTTCAACTACTAAAAGAAAACTGCAAACACCACAGAATTTATCTCAAATAACAGTAATTAAGAATGAGGACAAAATAAAGGTGTTTTCTAATGGGGCAAGGAAAGCCAGTGTGTAGCTTCTCACTGCTGTGAGCAAATACATGAGAAATACAACTTAAAGAAGGAAGAGATCAGTTTGGCTCAGTTCAGAGGTCTCAATCATGGTTGGCTGACTCTAATACCAGACAACCTAGGACTGAGGGAACACAGAATATCATGGCAGAGGGTATGGCAAAGGACAACTACTCGCCTCATGGCAGCCCTGAAATGGAGGGAAAGAGCCAGAAAAGAAGGAACTGAGTCATGCTCCCATTAACCCCTCCAATTAACCAGGGCCCACCTTAAGTCTCCAACACCTCCCAACAATGCCATCAAATGACAATTCTATCAATGGGAGTCAGCGAACTGTAGGAAAACAGAACATACATACACACACACACACACACACACACACACGCACACACACACCCATAACCTAGAAAATCGACTAAGCTAAAAGATCAGAAGTTGACAAGCTTTTTCTGTAAAAGTCCAGAGGGTCCAGTCAGTGTCACATCTACTCAACTCTGCCATTGTAACTTGAAGTCAACCACACACAATTCATAAATAAGCAAGCCTGGCCTGTATTCCAATAGAAGTGTAGTTATAAAAACAGGAGGTGGGCCAAACTGAGCCCACAAAGCTTAGTTTGCAGACCCCTGAAAAAGAATAACATTGATAAATATCTTGCGGGGGGAGAGGAGAGATAAGTGCACAGACAGTGTTATGTCTTTAAAACTGTGAATAACTTTATGCAAATAAGTTTAAAAACTTGGATGAAATGGACATGTTTAGAAAAAATGTGAACTTACCAGATGATTCAAAAAGAAATGGATTACTTAAGGGTCCTATAATTTATGTTTAAAATTCATCCAAATGAAATGATCAACAAGCTAAGTATTAGATGCTAAAAATTATACATTCTAAGCTGACAGCTCTGAATAGGGCATCACAACTAAAAATGTGTTCTGGTCTTCAAGGCTACCAGATTCAATATTTCTTTTCTCTCAAAGCTGAAATTTTTGGATTCCTCTTAAACACCCGAGTCCTGAATTTTCAACACTAATGACAAGAAACCTAAACTCGGCATTACCGCTCGGTCTGTGGGCCTGGCTCCTTGATAATCTCTCTGCAGTCCAGTTCCCATCTCCATCTACAGCTTACCCATCAACTACACATACCCGTTTCCTTCCCATGTTAGAGTGCTAGCGCTCCCTGGCTGAAAGCTGCTAGCTGACAAATGTTCCTAACACCAAAATATCTATCTGCATATACTTCTACATTACAAGTTTCTACATTCTCTACTGCTTTGCTATTCACAATTTTCAGTTTTATCTTTTTTCATCCACTGATTTCAGATATGAGGCACACTGTTAGCCTAGGTGATCCTACTGTCTGCTAATGCACTTTAGGATAAATGGAATATTTTGGCTGCTGGAAAAATCTTTCTAGTGCTGCATCTGAGTTTGTCCCTTAGCACCTACTCCACACCAACAATCTGTATGGGTCTAAGTCTCATTACTCCTGACACTACCTTTTGGTCTCACTCCTATAAACCAGACTCCTATAAACTAGCCATGTCTCAAGACCATCACTGATTCTTTTGCTTAGAAAAAAGTATTTAGCCGGGGATTTAGCTCAGTAGTTCGGTGGCCTGTCTTGCAAGCGCAAGGACCCGAGTTCAATCCCCGGTACCAAAAAAAAAAAAAAAAAGAAGAAAAACGTATTTAACAATGATTCACACTCCTTAATTCTTTACTGTGCAGTATACATTTAAAAACAAATACAAAAATGTTTAAAAGAAAACAACCGTATATATTTGTGAGAGTTGAAAAAACACTTGAGGTATAGGTAACTTCCTGATTTCTATCCACTAGTGATCTATTATATATAAATCTCAGTCTTGAAAGATGGAGGAGGGCCAGGGATTTAGCTCAGTGGTGCCACTGCCTGCCTCACAAGCACAAGGACCCAAGCTCATTCCCAGTACCAAAAAAAAAAAAAAAAAAAAAAAAAGGAGGGGAAAAAAAAGTTCACGGGAGTTCTATAAAGAATATTCTCAGAAGAGTTAGATTAAGCTGACAGTGAAATAAGAGTAAGTAATATATTTTCTAATTTGGAAATCGAGGACAAACTAGTTAACATCTTTTAATGTTAAACATTTACAAAAACTAAAAAAGTCTTTCTCTGGTTTAAATAGTTACATGAAAATATGTTAGATTTTTCATAATACCTAAAATGTACTAATGAATTAATAGTACTTACTTTCTCTTTAATTCCCTCATAATTGCATAATTTTCCCCAAACTTTAGATAGTTACTAGTTTGAAGGCTTTCTGATCTATAAACCGCTTTCCTAAACTGTATTATCAGACTGAATTCAGAAATTTCAGTTACAAGTAACAAGTGCTCTAATTTAAACAAAAGCCACATTTTCCCAAGTCCCCACCCCCACATCTCAGCCCACTGACATAATTCTAAGTGTTCTCTTGTTTTGGGAAACCTAGGTCAATCTCATTCCTTAAATGCTACCTTAAATATCTTTTAAACCAAAGAAATTTTATTTATTTATTTTTTGTTTTGTTTTGTTTTTTTGAGACAGGGTCTCACTATGGTCTGGAACTCACAGCAATCCTCCTGCCTCAGCCTCCTGAATGCTGGGATTACACGAATGTACCACCACACCCGGCTCATACTTTATTTTATTTTATTTATTTATTTTTGAAACCAAAGAAATTTTAAAATAAATATAACATTTAACATGTATAGTATTTGACCTAACAAGAAATGTATAAAATGTATATGAATGAAAGAATTTAAAAATTACTAGGAAATATAAAAGATCTAAATAAGGAAATACATGCACTACACTCCTGAATAGGTCTCACTGTAATGTTAATTGTTACCAAATTAATCTAAATATTCAAGGCATTTCTAATTTAAAATAACAATTTTTGACAAAATTGACAAATGCATCCAGAATTTTATTTGAAAGATTATCTTTATAAAAAAAAAAAAAAACAGAAAAGCTGCAAAATGAGACTCCTGCAGACAGCTAACCATATCATAAAGCTACCGTAATTAAAGTAACTCTAATCTAGTAAAGGAGTAAAAAATTAAACTAATGATACTATACAGGATAAGATCAGTAGATATTACATAAAACCTCCACACGAAAGGTCAAAAAACACATGTTAATCTATAAAAATGTTACAACATAAAACAAATAGTTAATACCCTAATATGCAATCTTTTCCCAATTGTAAAAATACAATTCCAATATCAAAGGATATGAATATAAATTTTAATATGTGTTAAAAATATGAAAGGATACGAATCTTCAGTAAGGAAAATAAATTTGAACAATGAGAATTTTTCATACTGGACTGGCAAAGATGAAAAAGAATGTAAAATGCATTATTAGCTAGTCTGTGGAGAAATGGACATCTGCATATTAATAGTAACAGTATAGATAGTTGTAGGTTTTTGGGAAGGCATTTTAGTAGGCATTTAAATTGAAATTTTAAATCTACATATTTCTTGATGCCATAATTTTACATGTTGGAATCCATCTACAGAAAGATATGCATAAGTCTGTAAAGGGTTATGTGCATAATAATGTTTGCAAACCTTTAAATATAAAATTTTAAAATGTCAACAGCCTAAATAAAGTAGTTAATAGCACATGCACACAATGGAATAGAATGTAACCCTTACATAAGTTAGGTAGTTGTATGAGTATTGACCTGATAAGGTATCTAAAAGTGTATTGTACTGTGAGCATACTGTTTGATTAAAAAACAAAAAAGAATTCAAAGAACAGTGTGCAAAACATGATTCATATTTGCATGTGTAAAAAGTATTCTGAAGTTTACTGACTCAATACTTTTGTATCCTTTCCATATGTATATACTCTTGTCATGTTAAAGTAAAAATCTGTGAGAAAAGAGCTGCTATTAAATGTGAAACACTATATTCTATCTGAACATTTCTCAGAAGATTTCTTTCTTTTTTCCAAAGTATGACTGCCCAACCTTTATGGCTTACCTGGGCAGCATTGAGTGAAAGGGACTGCCCTGGGTTGTATATCAAATATATAATATAGTTAATGCATGTAGGTAATAAAACTTTCTTAAATTTTTTTTTTTTAAAAGAGAGCAGGGCTAGGGATTTAGCTCCGTGGTGCAGCCACCTACCTCACAAGCACAAGGTCCTCAGTTCAATTCCTAGTACCAAAAAATAAAAATTAAAAATTTAAGAAAGAGGGCAAGTAGCCCTTAGGCTGTGGGCTGGGCATATTGCTTAAAAGATACATATAAAAAAGCTATACAAGTCTTTTGTAGTTTTCAAAGTAAATGTATTTTCTAATCACTTATTGGGTATGTTAGACTCTGGGGATAAAAAATGAGTAAAACACAGCCTCCGTCTTGAAGAAGCCCAAAGTACACTGCAAGAGACCAGACCCGGATGTAGGCAAGCAATTCCAACAGTGTTCTCAAGTAACTTCGACAGAAGTGTATTCAGGGATAAAAATTTTAAAGGAAAGGAAAAGTCATTCTATTTGGAGGAAAAGATAACAAAAAGGACTTAAGCTTTACACTTGAGCTAAATTTTAAAGGTGGCACACAGGCTGGATAATCAAGGGGAGAGAGAAGTTCATGTTTACACACACACACACACAATATACAAGAATTTATAATTTCACATACACTGAATACACATATACACATACTTAAACTGAGTATTTCTACAATGCTACAAATAGAAAACAATGAGAATTTTTAATGCCAAACACTGTGAAAAGCTATAATTATTCTTGTAATATTCATCAAGTATAATTTTGTTTTCTATACTAGTTGTAAATTGTTTTAAGTCTTGGTTATTTTTAGAAAAAAAATTTTTTTTCAAGTGTACGAAAATGTTTTTTAAATGAATGTGTCTACACTGAAAATCCTATTTTATTTCTATTTCTTTTGGTACCAGAGATTGAACTCAGGAGCTTGCACTTGCGAGGCAGGCACGGTGCCACTGAACTAAATCCCCGGCTCTCCATTTTATTTCTTAAAAATAAGCTGCCTCAGAAACACAGAGTTTTTATACTGTCAGTGCCTAAATTCTGACACTTTTCTAAGTCACCTTACACTGCAGTTTCAAAGCTCAAACATATTTAACACAAAACAACCCAACACAATAAATATAAACTCCTTTCCTAAGAGTTGTGTTGGGTTAATACTTGCGTGGTTTTAGTCCTGCTCTCAGGAAGTCCATCTCTTTTCCTGGAGACTATTACCAAACTTACCTGAAAGGAACAGTGAAACACCTGCCACACACACACACACACACACACACACACACACACACACACAAAGAAAAACATGGGTGTACCTCATGAAGGGTGAGATGTTTTCCATCCTTTCTCTTTGAGTCAAATCTGCCATATATTGCACTGTATTTCCGAATTTCCTCCTCTTTGTGTGGATCATCATCACTCATCTCAAAGATGTGACCAATCATTTTTGCCAACTTCTTGTTGGTTTTAAGCAGCTCTTTCACTTCATTCAAGTCACTTTTTGGCAGGGTGGGGGCCATGCGCTCCACACACTCAGCCACAGAGAGCGCAGCAGCAGCATCCAGGGCCTCACTGTTCTCCTTCGGGGATGCAGGTGAGCCAAGATCGGCTGGGGAGAGGCTGTGCTCGCTCTCCGTAGCATGGTGGCCTTGCCAGAGTCTGGACTCACTCACACTCTGCAGTGCTAAGCTCCCCACCAGGTCTGACTTCCCCTGTCCCAAGCTCTGCACACAGGTGGTAGCGGCACATTTGGGGATTTTTAAATGAGGTTCCCGGGCATTGCTACTCCTTTCGTAACTGCTGCACGATATTCCCAGCCATGTAGGTGATCCCTCTGGTAATTTATAGATAGGTATGCTGCTGACAGGAAGGGAAGTCAATGGCTGATTAAAAAGGCCAGGGTTTGTAACCCAGTCTCTCAAAGCCTTCTGGAGCCTTCTAACATGGAGGGGCTTGCTAGCCATGCCCACCAGGGCCATGATCTCCAAAAATTCCTCTTCTCCAGCTTCACAGAGTTGTTGGACGTCATCACCACCTTGTTGGATAAAGGCATCAAAATAAGAAAGCAAATTGGCTTTTTGCAATATTCTATATAGCTGCAACTCCCCCAGGGTCCTGGGTAAGGCCGCAGCCATTACTGTGGATGGAGTCAACCTACAAAAAGAAGAGAGAAAAAAACTCATTACACTTGCTTCAAACTTCTTAAACCAGATGGGTCAGATACTTCAGGATTTAGGAGTACAATACAGGAAAAACAAGGACCATGCGCACAGCAGCAGACTGTTTAGGAAGCATTCGCTCTATACACATCCTTTATTTGACTTTGTACTTCTAATAACTGGAAAGGTCAGTAACTAAACTGATCTATTCTTCTAAAGAAGAAGTAAGTGGGAAATGCAGGCTCTCAGGGTTCTGTGTTCCATATTTTCAACTATATACTTTGCTACTTCCGTAGTGTGGACAAAGAGGTGGAACGAAGACAGTCAAAATTAGCAGGAGGTAAGCAGCATGCTATTACTCACTGAAAGACTTACTCTACATCGAGCAATATGAGAAACGCTTTACATTATGTTTAATCCTTACAATAGCCACTGTGTGATAGGTGTTATTTATTTCCATTTTGTAAAAAAAAAAAAAAAAATAGCAACATTACCCAGCAGAAGAATTAAGATCAATTTTGGTACAAAAAAGAGATTAAAAAGAAAAAGAAGGTAGTATATATTTAGGAACCAAAAAGAAAAACAAATTCAAACAAGTGATAAGACATGATCATTTTGGTTTAAGTGATAAAAAAAGGTATAGTTGCCATTTATTGATACTTTGGTTTCAGGAAGAAAAGTGTTCTAAGTGATTATGAAATTAAATATCTGAGAGCCTAGAATTATAATAGGCATCAGGGATACAGAAAACTCAGGTTAGTAAGATTCCCTTTCAAACGGGTGGCACTCAAATATGGCTGCTGGAATACTTATGTAGAATTGCCCTGTATGCAAAATATAGGCTGGAGCCTTAACAGGCATCAGGGATAGAGATGCAGGATGCAATGGGAGTCCAGTGAGCCCTCCAGAACAGCAGCAGAGCCCAAGGCAGATCCAAGAAGAAAGATACTTCTAAAGCCCAAGCAAGACCGATAAACTGGTCTTTAAGGAGTGGGAACAAGATACAGAAAAGTACTTTCTGACCCCTTAACAGCCTTTAAAAGTTGCTCACAGTTGCCTGTGGAGACCTCCCACATACAAAGAAGAGTTGGACAAGTAGTTCCATTTAAGAGAAGTAAATTAACTTATAATCAATGGCCTCCTAGACCCAGTAGCCCTCTATGGAAGAAATTACAGAAGGCTAATACACACATCAGAGAAAAATGGAGGAGCCATTCTACTCCAGTGGTATGGAACAATAGTTAGCTGGGAGACAATGCAAGCAGAGGAATATCAGGAACACCCCTGAAAGCCAGAAAGTCACCAAACCTGGGACTTGTTTCCAAATGCTACCAACCATATTATACAAAATTCTAGTCTCAGAACTCAGAGAATGAACACTGGGGACTATCTACTGGGAGGCCCGTTCTTATGGAATCTATTTTTTCTACAATGTTTTGATCAACTAGTGACCCCTTAAACTTTATAGCTATATGCAAGGGCTAATATGAGCACAGCCTGATGATTTTCCGAGACAGAGACAGTTACAACTAGGGCCCAGTAACTTCTGCCACATTCACCTGTAGTGCTTTAAAAAAACAGTCTCCTGGGTCCCTGCGTATCAGCTCAGGAGACTCTCAGGATTAGAAGGCAAATGCACAAGACCCCTACTTAGTATAGCACAAACTTTACGAATTCTCTATCTAGCTTCTTTAGGTCTACCTTCATGTTTATGATACCTCATTCTTCTAGATAAAAGCATTCTTCATCTTCCACAGCACCCAAAGGAGGATCTGTCTGTTCTCCTAAGCGAGGGAGAGTCCATTACCCAGCTGGACAACAGCTCACAAAAACACAGCCCTTGAGAGACTTAAGTTTAAGCCTGTATTAAACTATGACATATCAGACAGAAGCTTTATAGAGGTAGAGGAAAGGAAATTTATTTCTCATCATATACTTAATGCAACTGCTCCACGTGCCTTCCACCAGAACACGGGAAAATGCCTACACACATATAAGCACACATATACACATACCATCTTTTATATGAGGGATGCAGCTTTGCAAGGTTTGCAGAGTAATAAGTTATCTTAACACACCTACTCCCCAAATCATTGAATAGAGGAAATACTACATGACAAAATCTAGAAGATTTAAAATATTTATAGAAACAGTGAGGAAAAAAAACTGTATTTCTGTAAGATAAATATAAAAGAGAAACTTAAAGATAACTAAATAACTTAGATTTTAGTCTTCTGAGATAAGGCAATGATTTTAGAAAAACAATAATTTTCAAGTTTTATCTTTTCTCCTCTTTATCCAGGAAAAAGGATAAAACAAACTACCTAGTTCCTAAGAGAGCCCTTGTGGACTGGCATCATATCACAGTGACACATGCACACGTGTTGTGTAAAGCAACACAATTCACAATTTTGGAAGCAGCCTATATGTCTAGCAACAGATGAATAGATAAAAATGTGAGACTCACACACTGTAGACCACTACTCTGCCATAAAGAAAGGTAAACTTGAGTCATTTGTAGAAAAATGGATGCAACTTGAGATCATAATGTTAAATGAAGTAAATCAGACATTAAGCATAAATGTTGCATGGTTTCTTTTCTACGAGAAAGCAAAAATATAAAGATCAAAATAAAAGATAATAGGAAATAAGGAGATAGAATTGTCTCAAATAGGATGGGGATCAAGAGATGAAGGGAAGGGGAGGGAAGGAAGGGAAAGGGAATGAAAAAAGGAATGAAGATGTGTTATATACATGTACCAGCTCCACACAAGGAATGCAAACATTATGTACTGCAAACGTGTACTAACAGATGTTTTAAAATTTAAAAAGTGTGTCCCAAAGGTCTCAAAGAAAAGAGTAGTTATGAATCTATCTCCATAAGGACAGACAGGACTAAGTGTACATTTCCAAAATCAGGATAACAGATGAAAGACAAATACTAGCTAGGCAACTATTCAGAGTCCCAGGAGGTTTTCTAAAGACTCACTGCTGGGAAAGGAGTTTTCTCCAAAAGCTTTCGCATTAGGAGAATGTTTCGGTTTCTTTCCAGAGCCTGCTGTGATAATTTAAACACCCACCACTTCATACAATAACGTGATTCTATTTAAAAGAAAACTTTTATAAGATGAGATTTTATGTTTTCACAAAATCTGTAACCATTCATGCTCCAACATGAATTGTCACGTAAGTCAAAAGCAAGCTTCAACCTTCACCTCTCTCATCTGAACCATACAAAGGGTCCTAACACAGTTGCCTACAAGCAGCTTACCAGACAGGATAGCAAATCTACTCAGCTGAAAACTACTGCTACCTGGCTTCTCCAAGGCCCTACAAGACCAAGGGGAGTCTGATGTTTTTGTGAATTCCAGTACTAAGAGAAACCAGTTACTCATTCTTTTTGGCCCAAAAGATAACCTGAGGCTGTACTGCCCCTATTCAGCAAACCTCCACTTAATCCCAGTGTAAATGTTCCCTACCCTGGTAAGTCCAATAAAAAGAACCCCAGTATTAGGAAGAGGCTTATATAATAACAGATCAGTCTAGGACTACTTGTTTGTTATGGTAATGATCTATTCCAAAACCTTAAAAATTGTACCTTATTTACAGGATCTCCTTACAGGATAGCATCAGTCACCTAACTATGCTAAGTAAAATAAGGAGCTGTCTGCTCCAGAAATTTTTACTGCTCAACCCCTGCTTTGCTATGGGAAACAAACTTTTCCTGACATTCTCCAAGCTTGGATGTGATGATTTAGAGGAGGGCGGAGCCCTTTTATGGTCACCAGAGAAAAAGTATCATTGCTTCAAATCTGCCTCAATCCAGCCCCAGTCCTCTAACCCCAATAAAAATCTCAAGGAACTACTGAGTTACCATGTAAGGTAGAACAGGCGCCTTTCTTGGACACTAGGGAAAAGAACCCTTTCTTCAAACCTGCTTCCACCCAGCCTCTCTGGTCCTCCAACTTCTATCAAAAATATAAACTACTGAGAGAGACTGAGTGTTTCTCAGCTGCAGATCATCACTCGAAATGGTCTTCGTTTAACTTTGGTAATACGATATTTTGTGTCGCCTACCTTCCCTTACTGTATTCTAAGGACAAGCACCATTTGCTGGTGCTTTTTGAGATGTGGATCTTGCTATATATTTATATTACCCAGGCTGGTCTTCAACTCCTAAATTCAAGTGACGCTCCTGCCTTGGGTTCTCAAGTGCCGAGACTACAGGAATTGAACACTGAATCCAGCTGCCAATATCTGACAGGATCGCTTTTCTACTGTCTGTCCATACTCTCCCCTTCCAGCGTCAGACACCACTATGAGCAGTGACTTCCAAATCTACACCTGTATCGTTAATTAATGGCACACGGGCAAGGGGCTAAGGAGTTACTGCTGCCAAGGGTCCTCAAACGCAAACGTGCACCAGGCTCTGGTCACTGAGTCAAAGGATGCCTTCACACAGGTCTACTTTACAAGTGAAGGTAAATAAACTTTTTGTAGTTTAATAAAACCCATTTAAAAGTATACCTGAATTTATTGTTTTGAGAATATATATACTTAATAAAAGCTAAAACTATGAGTATTTGCAATTTTTTAAAATTTAAGAAGTAAACCTTCTTCCTGAAAAATTTGAGAACCATCAGCCAGATCACTCTGAACAGTAATCTGGCATTCTACCTGGAGATTGTCAAAACCTCAACTTTGGTATGCCCAAAAGTGCAGTATCTCTTCCTCTTCTTCTAGATTCCCCAGTGGACTCTTCCCGACTCCCTCAGTTCTCTGGGTTGCACCACTACTTTTGCAGTTCCCTGGTTTAGGCCACCATCTCCCTTTTTCTGTCTTAAAAGCTAATTCTGGTTTTCACTGCTTCTTGAGTAAACTTTGAAATAACTTCCTCACCTTCAATGGATCCTGGACTGCAAGGCTAACTTTATCATTCTAAAGGACAGGTACAACTTCGCTCATCTGTGCAAATCTCCCCACTCCTTAAAGACACCCAAACCATTCATACAGGCACCCCACTCCCAGACCTCTCAAGCTGGCCAGCCCCATCTCTCCCTCAAATGTGCCTCCCACTTCCTTGGCCCATGCCAGACACCCTTCTCCCTCCAGCCCCCACCACCTTTCCCAAAAGCTTTTCCCACACCTGGCTACAGGTGGTCTTTCCTTCTTGGAATCCCTCAATTCTTCCCTTGCCTTTCATCTCTCCTCTCCCTCCCCAACTCCCTTCCCATTTTCTCTCCCCTCTTTCAAATGCACCAGGCCAGTTTAGGGAAACAGAGGAAACGTGCTCCTTTGTGAAGAGTCAGGAGGAAGGAGACAGGCAAGCAGCATACATTTTTTAAGCACTGTGACATACACTACACAACCTCTTACACAAAAGGAGCCAGGGAGCAAAGTTGACTTAACCTGACTCTGCAGAACAAATTACCGTTAGGCTATATGCAGCCTGAGGATAGACAGGTCTCACTAGTCTTTTACTTGCTTCATCCCTCACAAAATGTTCTATATGGAAC